ATGGGGTGGTGCTCATTACTGTTGCTATGGGTGGCATTTTTTTAAAAAAATGGAGGGAGTGTGGGACATGCCTTATTCAAAACGTGGAGTTTGACTCACTTGCTCGATCCATCTGGTTTATAGTCACCCATGGTGTGATGCACCTTAAGATCTCTATTTATGTTGCTTTGGAGTACGCTGTGCAGATGCCTAATGTCTCCTGTGAGTCTTTACTTGGGTTGAGTGTCTGGAACCACATGAGGAGACAGCAGGTGGTTGGTTCAGGGAAGGGCTGTGGCTCAGTGGCAGAGCGTCTGCTTGGGTTGTGGAAGGTCCCAGGTTCAATCCCCGGCGTCTCCAGTTAAAAGGGCCAGGTGGTAGGTGATGTGAAAGACCTCTGCCTGAGACCCTGGAGAGCCGCTGCCAGTCTGAGTAGACAAGACTGACTTCGATGGAACAAGAGTCTGATTCAGCGCAAGGCAGCTTCATGGGTTGGTTCAGGAAGGAAGTTCTAGGAATGCTCATAGCAGCCAAGAAGATTATGCCATGGCATGCTCAGCTGATGGTCAAGTTTGCAATTCTGTGCATATTTGCAAGAGGGTAACATAATGGCTCTTCCAAGGACAGTGCAGTAGTGAACTTGTGAGTTTAAACCACAACCAGAGTTTGCTAACAAGCTCATTATGAAATCCTTAGGGGTCTCTCACCTTGGTTGACCTCACAAGGCTGTTGTGAGGACAGGAACATGAGCAAGTGAGAAGAGCCCTGCTGGATCAAACCAATGGTCCATCTACTCCAGCATCCTATCTCACACAGTGGCCAACCAGTAATTTCCCCCTTTTCCTTTCATTCAGGGGTTGTTTCAGTTTAGTGATCCTGCTTTCCTCTTGTGTGTAGCTCTTCCAGACTTAAACGAAGGGCTGCTGAGGCTGTGGCATAGAATCTATTGGAGGGGGGAGCTTGGAGAGAGAGAGAAGGGGGGAGGGCATCACATCACTTCCGGGTGATGTGTGTGCGGCGCGCGCGCGCTTCGCGCGCATGCACACACACTCGGGGCCCCCCCATTTTCTCCAAGGGCTCCCCACTAGGAAGGCTTTAGCTACGGCCCTGCTCCTTTCTTATTTCCATACATGCTTCTTGACATCCTCTCCACACCGCCTCTCTTATCTCTCTGATGAATTTCTCCATCTCTGTCTCACCGCTCTCCAGCTCTTCCTCTCGTTCCTCCCCATTTCTTACAATCTGCTCCATCTCTTTCAAACTCCACACAATACGCAAATTCAATATATTTTTCTCCCCAAGTCTCTCAAAGTTCGAACAAAACCAACACAGACACAGTTCCCACATCGCTTTTCTTCCCTCCTCCAAAGTAAATGTTTACAAGTCAGTCCTTTCACTCCCCCGACCGCTTTACTTCACCTGCTTTGGACACCGCCATTTGGAGGTCTTTTACCAATTTTTTTCAGCTGTTTATAATTCTTCCCTCAAATCCATTTCCACCATTCAGTCAACATATCTTTCATTTCTTTGTGTTTTCTTCCAGTGCAAATTTTAAAAACCGGGCGGCTGCAACTCTGCAAAATCATGGCAGCCATGTTTGCTCCACCGAAGGTCCCTGCTTCGGGGCGATTCCTGGACACCCCCCACATTGCCGATTGTGGGGGGGCAACAATTAAAGCCCCTTGCTCCAGCAAGCCACACCAGGCCCGCTGGTCGGGAATTCCCGGCAACCGAGATCCCCAAAAGAAGACAAACGGGGTCAGGCGGCTCAGCGCTTGCTGAGACGCGCCCGTCGTCACGCCATACTGGAAGTGCCCTGCTGAGGTCCCTCTCCTTTCCAAACCCTGCTCTCCCCAGGCTCCACTGTCAAAGTCTCCGGGTATTTCCCAACCCAGGGATGGCAACCTCCTCACAGTATGGAGTTGTGAGCAAGGCTCCCTCTAAACTGTGGAGTCCTGTGAGCAAAAATTCTACTTGGTGAGCTCCTGACATTGTGAGCGAGCGATTTGGCTGCTTCATGACTTAGTTTGCTCTGGAGCCATCCTTCCTGAGCTAAGACAAAAATCTGTGAGCCAGAGGCTAAAAAACTGTGAGCTAGCTCACACTAACTCAGCTTAGAGGGAACACTGGTCGTGAGTGAATGGTCCGTCTTCACCTTCACTTTCAGGGCCCCAGGGTTCTGGTTTTAAGAGGAAACCAGGAGTTTATGTATTCCAGGCCCAATGTGAACACCTTGCTTTCCCAGCCAATCATCACTTAACTGTTCTAGTTCAAAACTTTTAAAAAAGTAGTATAAGCAAACATGTGAAAATAAGGTATAATAGAACCAAAGACAGACAAATAGTTAACTAAATGTGAGCCCTAAGAACAAACACCACCACCATGGGGTTGGGGTGGGGAGAGAACCATGTAATAGCATTTTGGCATTATAACAGTCTTTCAGATTCTCTGAATTCTCAGCAGTGTTCCCTCTAAGCTGAGTTAGTGTGAGCTAGCTCACAGTTTTTTAGCCTCCGACTCACAAACTTTTGTCTTAGCTCAGGAAGGACAGCTCCAGAGCAAACTAATGTATGCAGTAGCCAAATTGCTCGCTCACAACTTTAATGCCAGTAGCTCACAAAGTAGAATTTTTGCTCACAAGACTCCACAACTTAGAGGGAACATTGATTCTCAGCGGGGTTTTTTTGTTTTGTTTTTTAAAGTATCTCTTTCATTTGCAGAGGTGTGCCTCTCCCAGTATATGTTTGCAATGAAAAGGGCTTGTGTGTGTGTGTAAAGTGCCATCAAGTTGCAGCCAACTTAAGGCGACTCCAGCAAGAGGGCAGTCAAGCAGCCCCGTAGCCAGGACTTTTTCGGGGGGGGCACCAATTCATTCACTAACCCTTTCTTCTCCTCCAGGGTGAATCGATCTTCCTCATCCACACATACACCCCCGTAAGCATTTTCCATGGCGCTCAAAAGTTGCTGTGCTTGGCTCAGCCACCCATTCCCAAAGCTCAGCTAGCCGGGAACTCCACCGGCCCCCAACGGGTACAGCATCTGAAATGAGGATTGAAGCCACAAGTTGCCTCCAGTGCCCAACATAGCCTTCCCCAGCTTTCGGCCTGGCAGGGAGCAGAGCATGGCAGCAACAGTGAACCGAGCCGGGGGCAGCAGGAAGCGGCTCGCCCAAGAGCTCTTCCTGGTGACGGGCTTGCCCTGGACCCCTCGCACTGCGTGGCACAGCCTCCCTCCCTCCCTCCCTCCCTTCCCACTGTGGGAGCACCAGCACCAGCATAAGACAAGCAGGCACTGCCTCTTTCCCCAGGGCAGGAGCGGGAAGATTGGAAGCAGCCGCTCTGCGGTTGGAAGGGAAGGAGCAGCCGGCTGGATCTCGCCAGGGACTGGTGCATGTGGGGCACTGCAAATTCAATAGGGGGTGCTGCCCACCCCCCGCTGGCTGTGGGCCTATTTTCAAGGCAAGTGAGAAGCCAAGGTGGTTTGCCATTGCCTTCCTCTGCAGAGTCTTCCTTGGTGGTCTCCCTTCCAAGTACTGACCCTGATTAGCTTCCAAGATCTGATGTGGCGTGGCTATGGGTCCTGAAGCCCCAACGTCATCAAGCTGGTCGACGCAGCCGTTCGGGACATGACTGAGCCAAGCCAGAAACGTTTCCATCGTGCAGTTACGACGTGTGCAATTAAAATGAATTATATGTTGTCTTCCCTATCCCCTATGAAACATTGTTAGTCTCCTGTCTAAAGAGTAACTGTAAATATTATTATTATTATTATTATTATTATTATTATTATTATTATTATTATACTGTGCTGCCTGAAAGGGGTTAGAGACTTACTTTTAAAAACTCTGAAAAGCCAGTGGTCACTGCTGGAAGACCCTGCCATGGAAAATGTGAGGAAAACTTGCCATGTGGAAACCAGCAGTGATGGGGAAACCGCACAAGGAAAACCTGTTGTGTCTTCTCTATTGTGATTCTGTTTACAATGTGTGCTCAAGTAGAAGTTTGTTGTGTTATGAGCATGAAAAAAAGGAAGCTGTCATCCTCAGTGGCCATTAAATCCTGTACTCCTTCCACCCTGTGTAGCCAGAAACACAGGGTATATTAACATGTCCTCCTAGATATTGTACAGCTAGATCAATAAATATAAATACTTTTCTTTTGTCCCCCTGAAAGAACAAATCCAAGCGCTGGAAGCCCAGACTATCGTCCACGTAAGCTGCGGGAAGGAGCACTCGCTAGCCGTCTGCAGCAACGGAAGGGTTTTCTCTTGGGGGGCCGGCACTTTTGGACAGTTGGGCACTGGAGAACTTAAAGACCGCTTGATCCCCAGGTAAGTGTTTAATCGTAACTGTTGTGATGCAGGTGAGCTAGGAGGAGTGCTGGGCATCATCCAGAGAAAAATGCATGTAAATCGGTATTCAACTAGACCCACAAAGGGAAGTCTTGAAAACCTGTCCTCGCTGTTCATGGGCGTTTGGTTATATTTGCCACCTGAAAAGCAGCCCAGCTCAACCTGTTGAATACTGAAGGCTCCTTGCAGGCAAGAAGTGTTGAACAGGGACTTGAAGGAAATGAGACAAGTATTTGATAAATCAAGCCTGAACTCTCCCTAGAAGCAAAACAACTAAACTGAGGCTGTCATACTTTGATCATATCATGAGAAGACAAGAGTCCCTGGAAAAGACAATACTGCTAGGAAAAGTTGAAGGCAGTGAGGAACATTCATCATGAGATGGATTGACTCAATCAAGGAAGCCACGGCCTTCAGTTCGCCAGACCTGAGCAAGGCTGTTTTGGAGGGCATTAATTCATAGGGTCGCCAGGAGACATGACACATAAACACATTTGACAAGGTGCAAACCCTGATCTGAGTGATCATCTCTGAGTGAATTCTGGGTTTTCAACGTGACCTTGGTTGAAATGGGTCATGGGTTTGCGTGACATCTCAGCTGAACTGAAATCTGCTTGTCATGCTGTACATTTACTGTCCAGAGGGGTTCTTGGTGGCCTTCGTGTAAAACCAGCTTGATTAGCATTTACTTCACAGGATGCTGTGAAGAGGAATGAGAGGAAGATTTTAAAGCATTTAGGCATGATACGACTTCCACCCTAAGCATATTTACTTACAGGGGGGAAAGACAAAATCCTAAATACTTGCTTGTTTTCTTGCCCTCTGATTACTGTACAGGAAAATAGAAGGCCTATCTACATGCACAATCATACAGGTGGCCTGTGGACACTACCACTCAGTAGCCCTGACGAAAGGTAATTGTTGGTTTCATTTGACTCTTATAAACAGCCCTTATTGTGTTACACTGTTCATGTAAATGGGATAGCTTTCCATCGCTATAATGCTGCAGATGTCAAAGTGTGCACTGGGAAATCCTGGCTGTCGCGGTTGTGGCCTCTGATCTTTCTCTCTCTGTCCCCGGCTTCTTCCTCCTGAAACCAAGATGGCAGAGTCTTCTCCTGGGGGCAGAACAGCTACGGCCAGCTGGGAATCGGTAAAGAAGTCTCTTCCCAAGGTCGGCCGCAGCACGTTCCTGCTCTGGACGGCATCCCGTTGGCCCAGGTGACTGCAGGCGGGGCACACAGTTTTGCCCTCTCCCTTTCGGGAGTTGCGTACGGATGGGGAAGAAACCATATGCATCAGCTGGGTCTAAGTCAGAGTGACCCCAAAGGTATGGCTGTCTTTGAATTCCTCTTGGGTACATTCTCGATGGCTTCCTCTTAATGGGTTAGAATGCATGACAATTTGGGGGTATAAGACAAGGAAGAGAAGGTCATTACAATGAAATCAGGAACTGAAATTGTCAGAAAAGATTTTGTTGAGGATTCTGAGTCTATAATGGGCTTGTTTGTGCAGAGCGCAGCAGATAAAGTAGATAAAGTTTATTTAGTGAGATCCTGCTGTATTTACATGGGCTGAGAGCATTTACTAACCCAGAATTGCATCTTTAAAATATTTAGTGTGGCAGGGACCATGGCGAAGTGATAGAACATCTGGTTTGTGCACAGACAGTTCCAGAATCAACACCCAGCATTGTCAGTTAAAAGGATCAGGTGATGTGGAAGACCACCTGAGATTCTGGAGAGCTGCTGCCAGTCACAATAGTTGAGGGGTCCTCAACCTTTCTGAACCTGTGGGCACAATTGGAATCCTGACACAGCGTGGTGGACTCAGCCGCAAGATGGCTGCCACAACACAGCTGCTGCAGGGGGTGGAGGAAGCCACAAAATGGCCGCTGCAACTTATTGTTGGTCACACAGTGACGATCCTTGTGCTGTGGTGGCAGCTGTTGCCAAATCAATTAAAAAACAACAACAACTCTGCACGGGAGCTATGTTGGGGACCCCTGCAGTAGGCAATAGTGACCTTGATAGACCAGTGGTTTGCCTCTGCAGAAGGCTGCTTCCTGCATTCCTGTGGCATCATGGCCATGAGCCTGAGCTGTGAGCTGGAAGTGTCTGTGTCGGAGCTCAGCTGGGTAAGTTGTAGGCAAGCAACTCTCCTGGAATACCTTTCAACAAAAACCATCCAAATTACATTTTGAAGAGCTCTTAAAATTGTCTTCCAAAACTGGTTGTTTTGCATTTGCTCAAAAGTAGATGCTTTTGTTTTTCAAAATCTAGGAAGCCGGCTTGAAATCTGGCAAAACAGTAATGGGTTGTAGTATCATAAAGACTGGAATTTTCGTTTTCTCGAAGCACAAGAAACTGTGGCTGCAGTTCTGTGCACATGTATCTGTGAAGAAGGACCACAGAATGTAGTAAAATATTCATGAGATCAGGCTGTTCTTTTCCCAGCTAGAATGATCTGATTCTCTAAGAATGCTGTTTAGGAGATTGTCTAAAATTAGTAAATTGTCTAATAGAGTTTCCAAGTCATGCTGGAGGGGTAAAGAACAAGTAGGCGCTTTGATGCCTGTTTGGTGGAATTGTAAGATTAGACTGAGTGAATAGTTATAATACAATTCAGGGGAAATATTGGGTACAATGTAGAAGTCAGTCCAGTGATGTGTTGTGTTGTGTTAGGATAATAATCTCAAAAGCTTTTGAGTATCATAAAAAAAGTAATTATTGCGTTTAGGTCAGTATGGGACCATGCAGGCCCTGACCTCGTTGGATCTCAAAAGCTAAGCAGAGTTGTCCTTGGTTAGGTTTTGGATGGGAGACCACCAAAGGCAGCCAGGGTCACTACACAGAGGCAAACAATGACAAACGGCCTCTGAACATCTCTTGACTTGTAAATCCTGTGGGGTCGCCATAAGTCAGCTGTGACTTGATGACAAAAGTTAAAAAATGGGACCATCCAGAGACTCCCAGCTGTTGAAACACAGGCACAGTAAAGTTCAGTTTGTTGTGTCAATGGACAGAACCTCACCATATAAACACACCTAGTGGAAAAGTTGCATTTGCAAAAAAACATTTCACCAGTGTTGGTTCCACAAGATGTGCTGTGATAGAGGAATGCAGGGTACTGTGATAAACACGCAGAAAGTCTCTGATATCAGAGGAAACTTTCTTTCCTGGAACTGAAACAGTAAACTCCTCAGATATGAGGCTGAGAGATTAGTTTTTGTTGGGTTTTAAAAATTAGTTTTTAGCAGAGATAAAAAGAGCTTAGTAGTGCCAGAGTAAAATAATTCAGACTCAGAGTCCATGTGTGTTTAAAATAGAAAGTTTTTACTACATTCTAGTATAGGGAAGGTAACTGGGATGAAAATAACAACGGAGCTAAATTCCCTACATCTTTACACTACAAAGACAAGACTAGAAGAGAGTTATGGCTTCTCTTTCTTTCTCCTTGAGAACAGCAAAACAAAGACGGGAAGAGGAGCCATAAAATGCTAAAACACCTTGACACTTTACTTCCAATGAGGGAGAATTTTCCCGGGCTTGTAGTCCTAAACTAACATTGGTTACATGGGAAACATGTGATTTCCTGTGAGCAACACAAACATTTAACCCCAGATACACTAAAGTATAATTTAACTTGTAATACCCAACAGTTTTCCTTTATGGATAAAAATAGGCAGGGTAGAGAAGACAGTTTGTCCACCTGCCAGGCTACCTGGATATCCTGCTGATCTGTCAAACCTTTTGGTCTTGTGCCTTGATTTGATTGAAGAAAAGATGCAAAGCAGCAGACGTGGGGACTCAACGTGCTGTGAAAGGAATGGTTAAATGGTCTGGACACCCTGCGAGAGGTGCACAAGTCAAGAACTAAGAAAGGACTGGAAGAAACGGAGTAAAGTCTGTCTTGTCCAGCCTTTGTTTTCGATGTTCCATCAGGCAATACCAGTGAGGAGGGGTGTGCAAAGGGGTGTGTGAAGCAGTTCACACACTTACACAAGGGAATTCTGTGTCTCAGGCTGCAGAACCTGGAAGAAAGGACAGAGCTTGAGTGGCAGTGGCCAAAGACAACGGGAAGGGGGTGTGTGCACTAGCAGAGCATCGGGCGGTGAAGGGTGAAATCTGTTCAAGACTGGAGAGTGTTGAGTGACAGGCTACTCCGAGCACTCTGATTGGCCAGCTCCAGCTAAGGGCAGAAATTTCATTAGCTGGGCGCTGCTGAGGGGGAAGGGTCATTATTCTGACAGATTCCTAATTGGAGAGAAAAGAGATTGGAGAGAAATCTGCTCTGGGGAAGAATTCAGTCGAAGGACTGAAAGAGTTTGTGTCTCAGCCTGTGCTGAAAGCATTTTACACAGACATGAGAACTGGGAATGAGATTTGACAAGGTGGTTTGGTAGTGAGAGGAGACTCCCATCCAGGTGAAAGGAAAGGGGAGACATCTTCCAGGGAAATAAGAAGCATCCCTGCCCAGTTAAACAGGGGAGTGTTATCTCTGGGAAGATGAGGAGGAGATCCCTGGTCTGTTGTGGAAGGAAACTGCTTTAAGACACCTCAAGAGCTAGATAGAAATCAGGGATTCAAAGGA